CAGAGGCAGTGTTTTCATTGTCATCAACTGCTTTCCATTTTGTCTCGAGCAAATGAGAGAAGCCACACTGGAGTAAGGTGAGCTGTCCAGGGGGACCGGGAGCTTTGCTCAGGTCAGATGCTTTGCCTTTGGCAGGCTGGACTCTGGAGTTGTCCACCAACTCATCGTCACTGAGGTCGCTGCAGAGACCACATGCATCTTTTGCCGGTGGTTCCGCACCTCTGTGTTCTTGACCGTCAGGCTCTCTAGGCTATGACAGAAATATTAGAAAATGTTAAGAGGATGACGTCACGTCTATCATACTGGAAAGGAATTAAACTTGGGCAGATAACTTGTATAAGTCTATTAACTGTATAAGTCTATTACAAGGTATTTTGTAAAAGTACACTTAATAAACAAAGGTAAAGGATTTAATATTATGGTCTGGTACACTATTTTCTTTTTTCAAGTTTAAGAACTTTCTCAAAATAGAAGTTTAAGCTAGAACACCACATGGCCATTCTGGCCTCAAAAGGGAAAAGCACACACCTTATTGCTCACTGTAGCCCAGCAGGTGCTTCTCCTCGTGTTTTGAGGAGGAGACAAACAGGAGTTAACAAAGAAAAGAATTCGCAACTGGAAAATGGTTCTAATCAGTTAGAACTAAAAATAAGATCAAACAGAATCTTGACAACCAGAAGTAAAGGAAATATTGAAGATATTTTGAAGCAAACTTTGCTGTAAATTTAAATCCGTATTTAATTTTTTCACATCAGTCAGAGCTAAGTGTATCTTTCAGTTTCCTAAAACTGAGGCTTTATTAGTCAGCACTTTGGGGACAGTATTATCTAGCAATACTTCTGTCAACATTTGCTATTCATGTATTTCTATAAATTAAGAAAAATGTTCACCCCACATTTCAAATCATACCCCTAAAAACCAACAAGAAAAAACCAGCAACAACAATAATTTAAAAATTTACACATAATTTTTACTTTTAAAAGATCTTTTGGTAACAAGTATAGACTTTTGTATATATAAGGTGACAAACTACTAAAAAGATAGTAAGATCAAGGACTGAAATAATCTATGTAAGAGAATAATTTTGATGTTTGGATTTAATAATCTTAAATACACTTAAATTGCTATTTTCCCATTTAATTTGTTGTCTAGTAAACATCATTTTGAAAGGAGCCTTATGGCCCTAATTGGTTTGGCTCAGTGGATAGAGCGTCAGCCTGCGGATTGAAGGGTCTTGAGTTCGATTCCAGTCAAGGGCATGTACCTTGGTTGCAGGCACACACCCAGTAGGGATTGTGCAGGAGGCAGCTGATGGATGTTTCTCTCATTGATGTTTCTAACTCTCTATCCCTCTCCCTTCCTCTCTGTAAAAAGTAAAACAAAAATAACCCCAAAACAACTTATGTAATACTTTAAATAATAAAGAATTTAAATTAAAAAATAGAATTCACAGGAATAAAATAAAAAATAAAAAAACTATCAACATAATAAAAACCATTTTAGCTTGGATTGGTCACTTATACAGTGCATTTAATTTTGGACTTACAGTTTTGTTTAGTTAAAATTCCACTGTAGACATAAATGCCTGATGGGTGCTCTTGTTCTTATGATACAAAATGTTAAATTAGCCTCCATTATTAATTTTACTGACAGTCCTAATTTTGTGTCCTTGGCTCTTTTTTAAAAGGCATTTTCTTTACACATCGAAAAATGAAGGAGAAAGGGAGGAAACTTAAGCCTGTCACAGTCCATGTTTTCTAGGCCTTCTGGGCTAGAGATTCCAACATGCTTACTGGTTCTCGGTGGTGTTCTTGAGGTTCCTCTTTCAACCACGTTGTGGCTGTCATGACCCCTGCTTCCACGAGGCCTTCTCTCTATAAAGAATGCAAATAACTGTGTAAAATATGGGGTAAAAGACACCCAGATAAACAACAGCGACGGCATGCGAAAACTTGGCGTTAAGAAAGAGTGCAGCTTGCTTTAGCTCTCTTAGTTCCTTTTAAATTTGCTAATTAAGGAACTCATATACACTTTATATAACATTTTAAAATACTCTTAATTCTGAGGTAGTGGAGTGGCACAGCGAAAGCATGCTGGGCCCATAAAATACTCTTATTTCTTGTTTTAAAGCTTGCTTTTTCAGATAGAAAACTAACAGTGCTTTTTAGCCAACTCCATTAAAAGCTCTAGTAGGTAAGGGAGGGCGGGAAAATCTTGTATGTATACACAAAGTAATGACTCCATAATAACCATGTCTATGTAATAATTACAGTAAGGACATTGTCTACATTTCAAACAGCACAGATAATGTTGAGTACTGAGAACTTGATATTCTAGCCTACATTGCTAGTGTATTTGTTGTTCATATTTATTAAAATGCTTATTGATTCCTTAGGTATAGTAGTAGACCTCAAAATGAAAAGGCCCATCTTAATATGAAACTTAAAAAGGTCTTAATTAGATAACAGGTTTGCTATATCTTTTGGGAAATTATAATAATCAAAGTGCAATATGCAAATCGACTGAACAGCAGAACGACCATCCGGATGACCTTCCGGACAATCACGCTATGACACGCACTGGCGCCAGGCCAGCCAAGCGATCACACCCCATTCCTGTCGCCCACAGAGGAAGGCGACTGGTGGCGGGGGGTAGAGGGGCAGTGCTGCACAGATGGCAAGCAATGGCAGCGGTGGGGGCAGCCCAGGGAAAGAAAGCCCTGATAGGCCCTGATTGCTGGCCAGGACTAGGGACCCTACCTGACGGGTCCTGGATTATGAGAGAGTGCAGGCCGGGCTGAGGGACACCCCCCCTCCCTCCCTGTGCACGAATTTTGTGCACTGGGCCCTAGTTTATGCATATAGAGCTTTTGGTATATCATTTAGCAGAGGTATTTAACTGCTTAAATTCTAGAATATTAAATTTTCTTCAAAAGGAAATTAATATATTTCTCTTATAAGGCTTTCTTTGTTGATAGAATGAGAGGAAATAATACTACCATCACCAGAGTTTCGAATGTCCAGCTTATGGATACATAGACATACCAATGGCATGGTTCCAGCTACCTGGTATCTGTCTGGGCAACAAGTGAGAATTTCCCCTACAGGTCTTTAGAGCATGATAAACAGCTCCAATTGCCATACTTTCTCTTCCAATGCCTAGAAGCTATTACCGCACAGGAGTGGGGAGCCTCCTGCCCATGACTGACTTTCATCTTTCCAACAGATGCGAAATGGCTGAACAGCTCCAACTGGCAGTACCAGAAACCCTCAAGCGATCAGAACCCCTTTGTGACAGCAAAAGGCAACCACAATTTTCTGCTGCAGTGCAGCCCAGTGCCTTGGAGACATGGTTAACTCCTCTGTTTTTCTCCTACCCTCTGACCCATCACACTATCACCCTGGCCCAAACCACTCCATCTCTGGGCTGATTATTGCATTACCTCCCTGCCTCATTTCTTGCTTCCACTCTTGTACTTCTGCTGTCTAATTCTTTTTCTTAAAATAAAAATCAATTTTATTGATTTTTCACAAGGAGGAAGGGAGAGGGATAGAGAGTTAGAAACATTGATGAGAGAGAAACATCAATCAGCTGCCTCCTGCACACTCCCTGCTAGGGATGTGCCCGCAACCCAGGCGCATGCCCCCAACCGGAATCGAACCTGGGGCCCTCCAGTCCGCAGGCCGACACTCTAAACACTGATCCAAACCGGTTAGGGCATGCTGTCCAATTCTTAATATTTAACCCAGGTAATGCAGATCAGACGATGTCATTCGTCTGTTCAGAACCCTCTGATTGCTTGTTGGCTCTTCAAAGTCAGAGTCAAAGTTCCTGTATGTCCCCGCTTCCTGCCAGGTCTCTGGCCCCTTCTCGCTCTCTTGCCAACTCCACTCCAGCCCCGTGGGCCTCCTGCCATTTGAAATCATGCTGTGCATTCTCCTCCCCCAGGGCCTTTGCATTTGTTCCTCTGTCCGAATCACATCTTCTTTCCCGTCTCTTCAGAGGATAAATGAGTCTCACAGTGAGCTCTGCCCTGGCCACCCCATTTACAATTGAGATGTGGTTTCCTGACAGCCTCCCTCCCTATCTCCCTTCCCGCTCTCATTTTTTTTTATTGAAGTACAGTGTACATATAACACTGTATACATTTAAAGTACATAGCATGTGATGTGATACATTTATACACTACAGAATGATTACCACTGTAGCTTTAGCTAACATCTCTATCATGTCCCATAATGATCACTTTTTGTGTGTGGTGAGAACATTTATGATCTTGTCCCTCAGCCATTTTAAAGTATATAAGACAGTAGTATTGACTATAATCACTGTGCTGGGCATTAGATCTCAGAACTTACTCATCTTCTACCTGCTCTCTTTTTATCCTTGGAACCTATCATCATAATATAGTCTAAGCTTCACTTATTTTTTTCTGCTTAATTATTTGTCCCCCCACATAGAATTTTTTATAGGCAAGAGTTTTTTGGGGTTGTAGTTTATTCATTTCTGTATACTTAGCTCTATGAACAGTACTTGACATTTAGTATATATTCAATAAATATTTGTGAAATGAACTCTCAACTTTAATCTAAAGAGAAACTATGATGTAGATTTAAGTCAATGAAAAATATAAGTAAATTGCTCAGAAATCATCAGATTAAAAATGTCCTGTAAGTTCTACATCTTAAAACATTTTAAAGGGATTATAACTTTTAAAAATTAAAATGTATCACTAGAAATGAAATTCATCTTTTATGTTATGATACATGCTTTTATTATAGAGGGCTTAGCATAATCACATTTAAAACACTGTTTGGCCAAAAGCAGCATGAATTGAACCAGGCCTGAATAATTTTAAAATCTGGTTGACAACAAATGAACAATTTTAACTCAGTATTTAATAATTGAATGCCAATGATGTGCTTAAACAAAATAAGACCTGGGAGTCCAGTCATTAGTAAATAGACACTCCTGGAGAAAAAATAAGATATACTTAGGACACGCAGAGAACAAGAGCAATTTCTACTTAATAACTTGTCATACTGGTATGTCTTACCTAACACTTGTTTAACCAAAGAAGAGGTGGCTATTCTCATAAAACAGAGAACTAAACTATGGCAGAAAATGGCAAAAGTAATATAATGCTAATATATTTTATAATAATTTCAAATTAGAAACATGAATGTCGGCTGGTATGTTGTTTAGTACTCTGAGATAGAGGCAAGGTCTGCAAGACCCCAGGAGGCCAAACAGGGATATTCAACAGATGAGAGAAAAGAAATGGGAAAACAAGTCTATAACAAGAGACAGCTTATTTGAAAGCATGAACAAGATCAAAGAAAGGGGCTTTAAATGGGCCACTCCATTCAGAATCGGTTACTATAAAATAAAAGTCAGCATAGACACCGGCAATGACACGCCAGTTGTGATAGTCATAGGGTGCTAATAATATGCCCCTTCCTGTTAGCCATGCATCAGTGTTCACTGACTAGTATTAGGCTAGAGCAGTGATGGCGAACCTTCTGAGCTCGGCGTGTCAGCATTTTGAAAAACCCTAACTTAACTCTGGTGCCGTGTCACGTATAGAAATTTTTTGATATTTGCAACCGTAGTAAAACAAAGTCTTATATTTTTGATATTTATTTTATATATTTAAATGCCATTTAACAAAGAAAAATCAACCAAAAAAATGAGTTTGCGTGTCACCTCTGACACGCGTGTCATAGGTTCGCCATCGCTGGGCTAGAGTCATACCGCTACCTGCTTAACATGTGCTTTCTGCTGTTATATGTTCACCATGTAAATATTCTCTCCCACCTCCCACCAAGATGGTCTAAGTTCTTTAAAGACAGGGACCAACTGTTCCTTGAACTGTTTTTATGGTACCTAATGAATAAATGAAATATAGAGTGTTAAAGTTTTATTACAAAGTCCTGAAAATTAAGGAAAATATCCTTAATTCTAAGATTCAGTTTCTTCATCTATATGATGGGGGCTGGGGGGTTGTTTGAAAAAAAATGATAGTTCAGGATTTTATAATACTAAATATCAACTAGAAAATAGGTTAATAGCCTCAGTAATGTGGTATATTAAAGAATTTAAAAGACTTTTTAAAGGATATAAATATCTCATTTGAAGAATAAGAAACATCTGTATGCTGAGGATGAACACAACTGGGAGAGTCTGAAATATTGGTGTGGAATTTTTACTGGGAACAGAAAACAAAAATCTCCATGAAGACATGAGAGTGCATCTCAGGGAATATTTGGTAACTTTTAATCAAAACACATTTTATACTTTTGTTTATTTAGAAAAGTCTCTCTCTCTCTCTTTTTTTTTAGTTCCTGACTTCAACAGCTGTTTCAAAATAACAGACTTCTCTTTCCCAGTCTGAAAATGGCATTGAAGGTCACACTATCTAGTATATGTGTCTGTATTTGTGTGTGTAGATTATTTATGAGTATGCATGGGAAAAATCTTATTATAGAGGTACAATAACTCATTTCTTATTTTTCAAAAAGTAGAAATTGTAAACATACGGCATTTTTTATGAATAAAACCACAAATTTCCCTGAAAAGGCACTAGCAATTATATTTCAAGTTTCCTGAGGGAGAAAACGATGTTTAAAACATTGGAAAGGTCAGAGAACAGTTTCACACCTCCAGGATGTCCTTCGTAAGACAAGACCCCTGGGGCCTCAGTTTGAAGATATTATAGAGTCCAAAAAGCTCCCCTCGATGTTCTTTTGATCCTTGAACTGCTTCAAAATATCGCTTGGCATTTTCGCTTCCAACCACCACACACTGAAGTTGCTAAAACAGAAAAAACACAAGATATTTTTGAAGTGTTTGCTCCAACAATATGTCAGAATTTCCTGGCATTCCATGTATATACACAGCTTTAGCTGGAGCAGGCAGATTCTCCGTAGGGAGGAAATTTTATTTTCCTAGCAGATGTTGCCATTATGGTGAAATAATAATAATCTGTCCAGTCCTATTGAAGAAGACTAGTTTATCAATTTCTACCAACTCAGTCAAGATCACATCTCGAAGGACTATCCACCTGACATAAAATGTTTAATAATATAGGCATAGATTTGGGTTCACTTTTCTCCTTTCCCGACTATTATTACAATGGGAACTACTAAAACTGATAGAAATAATTACTACATTACCAAAGTTAAATTATAATCTGAAGTAATCATGTGATAACCATATTAGTGTCAAACTAACTGGCCATGGTTACATTGTCAGCTAAGAGCAAGAACCCATTTACTGTTTATAAATATTGCATCTTTGAAATAATCAATACTAACAAAAGGGTAATATGCTAATTAGACTGGACATCTTCCGGACAAAGCCATGGTGGTGGGGGCCGAGGCAGAAGTGGTTAGGGGCAATCAGGCTGGCAGGGGAGAGCAATTAGGGGGCGATGAGGCTAGCAGGGGAGGGCAGTTAGGAGGCGATCAGGCCAGCAGGGAAGAGCAGTTAGGGGGCAATGAGGCCGGCAGGGGAGCAGTTAGGGGCAATCAGGCAGGCAGACAGGCGAGCGGTTAGAAGGCAGTGGTCCCGGGTTGCGAGAGGGTGCAGGCCAGGCTGAGGGACACCCTCACTGTGCATGAATTTCATGCACCGGGCCTCTAGTTTTGCATATATAAAGAATATTAACATGGAACCCTTAAGGACATATGCCACTTTTGTATCAATATCAATGTGTCTATTTACTGGCTATTTTTAATGAATGTAATGTAAGTATAATCTGACTAACCCCATGTATTTTTAAATTACTTGAAAGAAACAAAAAAATGCACAGAATGAAAACAACTTCAGTCTATTGTTGATAGGATTAGTAAGATATCACATGTTATTGTGATTATCAGAGTTGATTTGTACTGTAATAAATTACTCTAGGCAACTAAAATTATTCTTAATAATAGCTCCTATTTATCAAACACTTACTACATGTGTAGCATTTTTACATTCTCTCATTTAATCCCTTAAACCCTATAAGACATTAACTCCTGTTCTGGCCGCTGTGGGTCAGGGGTAGAGCATCAGCCCACGCACTGAAGGGTTGAGGGTTTGATTCCCAGTCAAGGACACATACCTGGGTTGTTCAGAAATAAAGAAACTGGATTTGCTCTATTTTAGAAATAAAGAAACCTACATTTAGGGCAATTATGTGCCTTGGCCACAGCTACCTAGCTAGGAAGTGTTATTTTTAGAATTTATAGAAATAGTATAGGCATACATTTGGGCTGAATCTAAAATTTATTTGTAATAAATAATTTTTCACCTCCAGGATGTTCCTCTTAAAACAAGACTCTTGTGACCTTAGTTTGAAGAAGTTATGGATCAACATATCAGCTTAATCAATTCAATATCAATGTCCCAGAAGCAGGGGCTGCCCTTCTGGGAATACAGAACCACAGTAGCAGTCGATGAACCAGATGGCCTCATTACCGATGACTGTACCCTCGATACTGACTTTACCTTAAACGTTGTATTATCAGACTGCAGCACTATTAAATATAATCACCAAAAATAATTTGTAAGCATTAGATCTGAATCTTGTTAAGTGTAATACCAAAGTTTTATCACAAAACTTATATAAAAGGCATAGTACTTTATACTTAAATGAGTTTTCCAAAGTGGTTCCAGTAAAAGAAAAGGCAGATGAATCCATCTGTAGGCTAACTATATATATTTTAAACAACACTGGAATTCAAGGGAAAAAAATAGTAATTGGAAAATGTAGCTTAGTTTCTAGCTTCAGAAAAACTCATATAAGGCAAGAAAATGCTTGGATTTGTTCACAATACAAAAGAAAAGAAGGAATCCTCAAATCACGTTGAGGATTTCATGACCTCTCCTCCATTTTTAAGGTTAGCAGTGTGGCATCTTCATGTCCTTCTCTCTGACCCTCTTCTGCCTTCACATCTCCTCTTCTCTGTTTGATCCTCCCGCCCTCTCCCCCGATGAGGATAACTGTGATTACACTGGGCCCACCCAGATAACCCAAGTGCTTCAGGGGATTAGGATGTGGACATCTTTGGGGGACCACTATTCAGTTCACCACAGTGAGAAGTGCAAAAAGAATTATGAGGCCTATCAAAATGACAAATGCCACCTTGACAGGGTTCCCACTGGCCACAGTCAATGAGTTGCAATGTTACTAAAGTAGGAACCCATGAGTCCACACAGATTAAATAAATAGAAGAGAAGGGGAAATAAGCTGTCATGGTAGAATGCCAACAGATTTTTAAAAAGCAGGAATAGTGGAAATAGAAAAATCACCATCTGACAACCATCACAATGGTAGCTGATTCAGGAGGGAATCAGCAGTGAATGCTATGACCAATGGGTAGAGGTTTGATGAGAGACAGAACATTAGCCTAAACATAGAGATTTTCCCATAAAATATTTATCAATTACAACCAGAAAAAATGGCAACTTGCAGTGGAGAAAGCCAGCAGACACAAACTTGCTTGGTGATTAAGGTTAACATCACCAATACCGGGGCAGGGCACCGCCATGTGCCTTCTGACCAATGCAATGAGCAGAGCCCAGAACTGCTTCATACTGTTCACGGTCAGGCTTCTGGGCTTGAGTCTGAGCACGAGGAAACATCAATGGACTGATAACGAAGGAGATCCTACACAGGGAAGGCCTATTCTTTAAAACTATCAAGAACATGAAAGCCGAGGAAAGCTTATTCCAGGTGTAAGAAAACTAAATAGGCACAAAAATAATGTAACCATGGTCCTGGTTTGGATCCTGAACCAGTTAGGAAAAAGGAAACGTTACAAGGACAACTGGTAAAATGTGAATGGGTTCTGTGGATTACAAGGTAATGGATCACTGTTAGACTGTTAGTTTCTTAACTTGGATAACTGAGTTTTCGAGAGGACAGTGAGGGGGAAAAGCAAGTTGCAGAACAATATGTAAAACTGAGTGTGTATAATGCATAAAATTATTCTTTATCCTCATCGGAGGATGTGTGTATTCACTTAAAGAGAGGGAGGAAAGAGGGGGGAAGAGAGAGAGAGAGAGAGAAACATTGATGTGAGAAACATCAATTGGTTGCTTCACACAGGCACTCTGACTGGGGATCAAACCTTCAACGTAGGTATGTGCCCTGACTGGGAATTGAACCCCCAACCTTTTGGTGCATGGGACAATGCTCCAACCAACCGAGCCAACAAACCAGGGCAAGCATAACACTATTTTTATATGTACATATAAACAGGAGAGTGTCCTTGTTTGGGGGAAATCCACACTAGACAATTTAGAGGTGAGAAACCAGCAACTTTCAAATGGTTCAGAAAAAGAATAAAGATCATAGCTGAGAGAAAGAGAAAGCAAATGGGGTGAAATGTGAACAACTGGGGAATTTGGATGAAGTTAAATTCAGAGTTCTTTGTGCTGTTCTCACAACTCTTCTGTAAATAAAAACATTTCTAAATACATTTCTGAAGGCCAAACTTTACATTACATGCAATGTTCCAAACCTGAAGGACAGGTGCTGTGGACTTGTTCTCTACCTTTTTTTTGTTTTGTTTTTTTACTTTGTTGGTTTTTCAGAGAGAGCAAGGGGGAAACATCGATGTGTTGTTCCCCTTACTTGTGCGTTCATTGGTTGATTCTTGTATGTGCCCTGACCGGAAGGAACCCACAGCCTGGGTGTATTGAGGCAATGCTTGAACCAACTGAGCTACCCGCAGGGCTTGTTCTCTACGTTCTACATGTTTCTTTTCCTTGGGGCCTCTTCCCTTCTTTTCCTTCTGTTCTCTTCTTCAACTATAAGACTGATAATGGTGGCTAACCACTATGCTGGTACAACTGAAACTAATACAAAATAATACTGAATGTAAACTGTAATTTAAATTTTTTTAACATAAAAAAAATACAAAGGCTGATACTGGAACTTCTAGATCTAGCCGTCATGTTCTCCAACTTTTCTTCCATGTGTTGTTTCTCTGTCTTTTTGCTCTGTAATGTAGAATTGTGTGGCTTTCTTTTAGATGAACTTTGCTCTTTGCTACTCAGCCTATCTTTGGAGTTTTTCATTGTTTGGGAATATTTTTTCCTAGTATTCTGTTGTTTCCAAGGTCCTACAACCTCACTTACTATTTGAATATACTCTTTATATTTCTTTCGTAATCTCTTCTATTAATTGTTTTCTCTGAGGTTACTTCTTTTTTGGAGTGCCTGCATTAGTTTCTACTGCTCTTGTAATATTATCATAAACTTAGTGGTTTTAAAAAACAGAAATGTATTCTCTTACAGCCTGGAGGCCAGGAGTCTGACATCCGTGTCACTGGGCTGACAGTAAGGTTTTGGCAGGGTCATGCCTCTCCAGTGGCTCTAGGGGAGAAACCAGTCCTTGCCTCTTCCAGCTTCTGGTGGCCGCCAGCATTCCTTAGTTTGTGACTCCATCACTCCAACATCTGCCTCTGTGGTTATGTTGCCTTGTCTTCTGTGTCAGATTTCCCTTTGATTCTCTCTTAAAAGGCCAATTATGATTCAGGCCCCACCTGGATAACCTAGGCTCATCTCCCCATCTCAAAATCACGAGTTTAACCGTAACTGCAGACACCGTTTCCCATATAAAATAGCATTTACAGGCTCCAGCGATTAGGACCTGATATCTTTGAGGACCATTCTCAGTGTTTATTTTCCTAAACTGCTAAATGATTATTTTTGTAGGGTGTTCACCTGTCTTCAAATATTATGCTTATCTCACCCCACTACAGTGATTGTTCAAAGTGGGGAGGTGCCATTTTCTGGGCACTGGGAGGAATTTTCTTCTTGATTCCAGCAAAACGTTGCTCTGCCCTGCTTCTTTGCTCCCACTCTTTCTAAAGACTGTCTCTCTCAGGGGCAGGCCCCTCTGCTGGCTGTAATTCGTGCAATGGGATAATGCTGTGAGGTTAAACCACCCTGTTAGGTCATCAACAATACTCCAGAGAGTGGGTATCACAGTTACCCCCAAGCGCCCTTATTTTTTTAGCATCTGGTAACTCTAAATTTGGAATATCCAGAAGTTACACCTACCCATTTCAGTAGCTGTTCCTGACTGAGTTTAGTTTGGTTTCTTCCTCTAATCTGATCCCATCTGCTTTCTGGTTTTCAGGGTTCCTTATAATTTCTGGACCACAGAGTAAACTTTTCTTGTTTTCCAACATTTTTACAGGTGTTTTTTTTTCTAAAAGTTATTTTTGGATATTTATTCTCCCCCAAAGATCTGAGAAACACGTGGGAGGCTAGCGTGTGTATGCCATATGTACCCTTGGTTCAAAGTCCAATCAATCTTTTAAATCACATTTAATTTCCTCACATGATTGCCATCTTATATTTACTTGTGCTTACCAAGTTGTATGGCTGAATCTTTCCTAAGTGGCTCACATTTAAAAAGTATTTTACTAAATAACTAGATCCTACAAAGTTCTAAAAACTTAAATTATTCTCATCTTCTGAAGCCTTTTTATTATATAGTATATAATATACATTATATAACAGGCCATTTTATCTCATTATAAATAGTTATAGATGAATAGTTAAAAACTACATACAGGGTGGGACAAAATTTAGGCTTACAGTTGTGAGTACACGAAACACAGAGCTTATTCTTGTACTATTTATTAATTATTATATTATTTTCCGTACGAACAACTGTAAACCTGCTTCTGCCCCACCCTGTACATATGTAGTAGTGGGACTATGAAAAATCACATGATTGAGGAAAGATTCTTACTTGTGATAGGTTAAGAAATTATTCTAAAGAACTGCTCCTAAGTTGAAAAAATAATATTCTACTTTTTTCCAAGATTGGTAAAACATGTTTAAAAAAATAATTTTTAAGTAGTTGTGCTATACCAGGGAACAAAAAGATGAAAGGCTTCTTATAGAGCTAAATGCTTTAAGAGAAAACAAAAACTGCTGTGTACAGATCTATTTTTAGAATTAAGAAAACAGCATTAATTTAAGATTGGATCATTCTTAGGTTAACTACCACCACATGTGGCAGATGTTTGCTCTTAAAGAAATGCCAACTAAATATATAGGGAGTAATTCAAATTTAACATTTATAATTAAGCTTGAACCTCATTCCCAATCTTCTCAAGTCAGCAATTATAAACTAAATAAACCGTGTTTATTTAGAGGCATAGCTGGAATAGTAATTGATACCCTAAGGATATTAAAGCATTAATGCAATTTTAGATAAATACTAAAAGCACCAGCGCAGAGGTTAGGGCTCCTGAGGCCTATAATTCTATGTACTGGCGGGGCTCTGGAACCCAGTTTCATTATGTACAACATGAAACAGTCACATTTGCTATCTCTAAGGCACTTCTCACTTTTTTTCATGTCGTGGGAAATATAGAAAATGGCAACATATGTAACATACGAACATTTACCTGGAATAAACAGAGGTTGTTACTCAAAGCTGGCTTTGACCATCTTGCTGCTTAGAGTTGTGGGATGGAGTCCCAGGGCACCTGTATCCCATCTGTGGCATATCATTATGTCTTGGCCCACAGTCTGGGAAACCGTGACCTCGATAATCTGTGCTGTACACACTAGTTGTGTTGGCACTTCTTGGAGCTTGTTAAGAATGAGAACCTTGCCTGGCTGGTGAGGCTCAGTGGTTGAGTATTGACCTATGAACCAGGAGGTCACAGTTTGATTCTGGGTCAGGGTACCTGTCTGGGTTGTGGGCCCAATCCCTGGTGTGGGGTGTGCAGGAGGCACTGATCAGTGCTTCTCTCTCATCATTGATGTTTCTATTTCTCTCTCCCCCTCCCTTCCTCTCTGAAATCAATAAAAATATATATATTTTTTAAATGCAGAATCTTGGGCTCCACCCAGACCGACTAAATCAGAAGCTGTGTTTTAAGGATCCCCTAGATCAGTGGTCGGCAAACTGTGGCACGGCAAACCGCGGCTCGTGAGCCACATGCGGCTCTTTGGCCCCTTGAGTGTGGCTCTTCCACAAAATACTGACTTCTGCGCATGGGCCACGAAGTTTCAATCACACTGTACGTGCGCACCCACACGTGGTATTTTGTGGAAGAGCCACACACAAAGGGCCAAAGAGCCGCATGTGGCTCGCGAGCTGCAGTTTGTCGACCACAGCCCTAGATGATTCATGTGCACATTAAAGTTTAAGAAGTATTGCTGTAAGAAACTTTCAGCTCTAAAATTCAATGAACTTAAGGATCTGTTTTATAGAAGTACTAGTGGCCCGGTGCACAGATTCGTGCACATTGAAAGGAAATTAATTAAAAGAAATATTTTAATATTGCTATTCGCCCTTTTTCTATAATGGAAGTGTCAACCAAATTCACAATTGACAATGACAGAATGTATTCCACACGTGTGATTGGCACCAGTGAGAGCTTTATATGTATTACGCATGCGCGAGTCAACTTAGCCTTTTATATGTTTAGATAAACTTGTTTAACACGTTAAGCGCCCAGTCAGTCATTGGTGACTGACACTATACTTTCTGCCCGGAAGATAAAACAGGCTGGGCACTTAAGGTGTTAATTAGACCTGCTTTCTCATTTAGCTAAATTTTTTCCAGCCTAGTGAAGTACCCCAACTTCTCTTTTAGGTAATTGTCAGCAACACAGCAGTAAATATCAACATGAAGCAGATTATTATTGTAGGTCACACAGGGAGAACAAAGGGTAAAATATTTAACTACAGCAGTGTTTGACTATATTCTGTGCAGTGAGAAAACCTGAAGTCATTTTCAAATGCCACCATTTCTTATTTCTTTTCAGTTGGGTCAAGTTTCTAAACTTTCTAAATCTCCATTTTCTGGCTAATTAACCATTTCTGGGCTGTGCTGGGCTGTGGGCTGCATTTTGTGCCATGGGGTCTTGGCAGCATTGGCTGCGATTTGGTGGGGTGTCGCTCTGGGGTGGTAGTGGGGCTTGTGTCCCACTTGGAGGAAGCCAAGTGTTGGTTTGTCAGTGCCAGGTCCATGGTGCCATTTATTTTTAAATGGCCAGTGCGTGTCATGGAAGCTCCTGCGTTGAGCATCTGCCCCCTGGTGGTTAGTGCACGTCATATCTACTGGTCAAAGCGTCTTCCTCCTGGTGGTCATTGCACGTCATAGCTACCAGTCGGAGGGAAGGACGGACACTTAGCCTTTTATATATATAAACTAGAGGCCCAGTGCACGAAATTCGTGCACGGGTAGGGTCCCTAGGCCTGGCCAGCGATTGGGGCCGTCCTTCCCCTGGCTACCGGCTGCTGGCTGGGGCCTTCCTTCATTCCGCGCCACCCCCGGTGGTCTGTGCATGTCATAGCAAGCAGTCGAACTCCTGGTCGGTTGAACTCCCGAGGGTACGATTTGCATATCAGCCTTTTATTATATAGGATATTCTAGAGCAGTGGTTCTCAAGTGGTCACAACCCCTTTGGCGGTCGAATGACCCTTTCACAGTGGTCGCCTAAGACTATCCTGCATATCAGATATTTACATTATGATTCTAACAGTAGCAACATTACAGTTATGAAGTAGCAACGAAAATAATTTTATGGTTGGGTCACAACATGAGGAACTGTATTTAAAGGGCCAGAAGGTTGAGAACCACTGTTCTAGAGTATATTTCATAATCTTAACAAATGCCATATTACAGTTAGGATAAAATTTAAAATATATTTTTACACATATTTGTTCCTAATTTTTGAAAACAGGCAAATGTTTATTTTTTAATTAAAAGAAGAGAAATATATTTACCTGTTTGTATACCTGCCGTAAGTACATGATCTCCTCCACAGTTCCCAAGGATATCAGCCTAAACACTTTGACATCTCTGCATTGCCCAATCCTGTATGCTCTGCAAAAATATTAAGAACAAAAGCAAACAAAAATCAGGTGAAACAACTTTGGGTTCAGGCTATATTTTTTGGACATAAAAATGGAAGATTACTGAAATTTTAATTTAAAAAGAAACATTTTATGCTTATATATCAGGGGTTCTCAAACTATGGCCCACAGGCCACATGCAAATACAAATATTGTATTTGTTCCCGTTTTGTTTTTTTACTTCAAAATAAGATATGTGCAGTGTGCACAGGAATTTGTTCATAGTTTTTTTTTAAACTATAGTCCGGCCCTCCAACGGTCTGAGGGACAGTGAACTGGCCTGTTTAAAAAGTTTGAGGACCCCTGTTATATATGCTATACTATTTAATAATAGTGCAAAATAGAAATTCATATAAAAAGCCCAGTCATGGAAAAGTATTACAAAAAAATATACATATCAACTTTATTTCTGTTACAAATATTAGCTTTTATTATCCAAAAATTTTTCTTAAATTCAGATTTTTCTTTTATTGTAATCTTAAGCTTAAACTTATGAATGTTTCCAAATCATTACATTTATATAAAATTCTCAAAAATGCAAATTAATGATAGAAAGCAGATCACTGGCTGCTTGGGAATAGGGACTTGGGGAGGGGCAGGAGAGGGATTATAAAGTAGTGTAGACGAAAGGGGCCATATGCTGACCTGACAAGCTCAGGGGAGGCCTGCATGGTGGTCTTGCAAACTCAGAGACCTAAAGTAACCACAAAGGATGGTCTAAAATTTAACTAAAAGCAGTTATGGTGGGTAGTCACCTCCTAGCCCTGTATCTTCCCTGACAAGGTCGACCTTTACCTTAACTGAGCTTAATAACTTTTTGCATCTATGATAACATACCATTGAAATGTCAGGGTAACTTGTAACTTCCCTTTTTCCTGGACCCCTCAGGGTACAACCAAATGTCCTGGGCTCCAGGACAGAGACACAAATTCCTTCGTTGTTATTGTTATCATGTTAATTGACTATAAACTGTCCTGTACCCATCCACGTAATGTGTCTATCATTTCACTTTTTATCCAATCCCAGAGGTTTCTGGCCCCCTTTGCTTTCTCCCGCCTCCCTAATCTATAAAACCAGGTGAGACACAGCCATTCTCTGGAGCATTATCCCAACTGGCTAAGACTCTGCTTCCGGGCAGCTTTTGATAGCGTGGCTCAAATAAGCTCACAAACTTCTTCACAGGTTTGGGTGTTTTTGCATTAACAGTAGCAGAAGGGAAATTTGTGTGTGTGTCGGGGGGTGATGTATAGTGACTATTTCTTAGTGTGGTGATGGTTTCATTTGTACGTATATATCAAAACTTATCAATTGTACACTTTAAACATGTGCAGTTTATTGTGTATTAATTATATCTCAATGAAACTATTTTGTTTAAAGAAAAAAAAATCTGGGTAAAAGCAGTTAATCAACTGGTAAGGCTATGAAAGTGCAGATTGGCGGTCCTCATCCAGAGATTTCCCTGGGGCTGTCTGCCTGAATCACTCACAGTTGACTAGTATCCCAGGTGTTTTGGTAGGAACCACAGTGCTAATTAAAACTCTAACCTGATTCACAACACTGGTTAACTATGGTTCTAGTCTAGTCCCTGCAGGTTCTCCCAGGTGGAGCTTTAACAGATGCTCTGAATGAGGTCATCTACTCCTAAATACCTGTTACAGTCCCGGCGGGGGGTGGGAGGGGTG